GCGTCTCTTCCATCCCTCCCCCGCGACCCATTGTGGTGGCTGGTGTGTTGCATCAGCAGGTTTGCATGTGCAGAGATCTGGCTGGGAAAGGCTCAGGGACACAGTCTAAGGCAGGTCCCTACAGACCAGAGCCAGAAGAACGGGTAGATCTTCCCCGTAAAGAGGGCAGTGAAGGCGTGGAGGGGGGCCATGGTGTCAGCATTGTAGAAGCACACAACCCCTCCTTCATAGTCCAGATACACTCTGATCTTGCAAGGGCTCTGTGGCGGGTCCATCAGGCTCCATTCTGCAGTGACTTCCCGGTACTGGCCCCTGGAGAGCTGGATGGCCCACGTGCCTTGCTTGGGGCTGAACATGAACCATCCCTTCCTGCTGGCAGACTCCCTGGTGACGCCCAAAGCCCAGCCCCCTGTGCCGGCCACCTCCACGTCCCAGTAATGCGTCCCCGACTCATAGCCATCGGAGCCGAGCACGCAGGAGTAAACGTCGAATCTCCCCGGGCCATCAGGCAGTGATTGTCTTGGACCTGTGTTCCTTAGGCCCTTCCTCTCTGCAAACAGCTCCAGACTGGGGTGAGCTGTTTTTGGATCCAGGGTCACGTCCGCTAGAGACAGACAGATGGGGGGCAGGGTGGGGGGACAGTTTCAGGGAAGGCAGTTTGCTCATTTCAAAGACTTAAATTGGTCCAGCTGGAGAACGAGACGTTTTAAAGCAAAACTCCAGCAAAAGCTGGGAGTCAGGGAGAAACATCTGCCAAGGAGCATGGTGCACTCTGCTTAAACCACGACTTTCCACGCCCCTCCCAGAGCTGGGACAGAACCCAGGAGTCCTGACTCCCAGACCCCATTTTCCCATATCTATTAGACCCACCCCCCGGCCAGTGTTAGAACGCAGGAGTCCTGACTCCCAGCTGCCCACCCATAACCCACTAGACCGCTCTCCCCTCCCACAGCCAATGTTAGAACCCAGGTGTCCTGACTCCCAGTTGCCCACCCATAACCCACTAGACCCCACTTCCCTCCCAGAGCTGGGAATAGAGCCCAGGAGTCCTGACTCCCAGCCCCCATTTTTCCTTAACTACTAGATTCCTCTCCCCTCCCACAGCCAATCTTAGAACCCAGGAGTCCTGACTCCCAGTTGCCCACCCATATCCCGCTAGACCTAACTCTCCATTTTGGATTTACCGGCTTTGAGAAATGCTTCTTTCCAACCTGAAATGAGAAGAGAACAACAGGCCAGGGCTTAGTCCAGGGCAGTCAGCTGCCTAGCTAAATTACATATAGTCTAGAGATCAAATTCACACTCACTTGGTCTGCCGTGGCTTTCCTCTGTGGACACAAAGAGACAGCACGTTAGCCGGGGCCTGGGTTCCAAACCTGTCCATGTCTCGCTCTGGGCCCAGCATTAAACCCACCCCGCCGGGAGAACCAATGCTCAGAGACACCCAGGGCAGCCTAGGTCTGCCCACCTCCCTTGTCCCAGCAGAAGAACCTTCTCGACCCAAAGAAAACCTTCAGGTCCGGATTCGAGCCTTTTTGAACTTATTTTTGTATACCTGAAATTCAAGGCAATTCTGAGAGGAAAAATCCGCATGGATCACATTGGGAAGGTCGAATCCAAACATTTTGATTTTCTTCAGCATTTTAGTTGATTTCATTTTTTTCCCCAGCTCAAACAACTGGGGGAAACAGACACGAATTCACAACACATTTCGGTGTCATCGAATCTGCATTTTTCACCGAAAACAAAGTTTCAGTCCAAAAACTGCACCCCAATCTAGACACCACGCTGGGGTGGGAAGGGCTGATGGATCCTCTTAGGGGACCCACTCACTGCCTCTCTGGGCGTAACACCGCAGCCCCAGATTTGCTAGGGCATTTGCGTTCCCCAAGTCGCTTGCACCGGTGCCACCAGAAACCTCGCCGGGTGGCGCCTGATTTAAAGGAGTTGTTACCCAGTCTGAGTTAACATGGCCCAACCCCCAGGAACGGCTGAAGGTGAAGAAGAAACTTACTTTGAGCTGTGTAGATGGCACCTGTAAAACAAACAGAGAAACACATTCACCGACAGGGCACCGGCCACCAGAGGGTGTTGTTAACTCTCAGGAAGAGCAGGGACTACCTCCTCCTGGGTGTCTGTGCAGCGCCCGACACAAGGGGGCACGGATCTCAGGTGCGGTATCTAGAGGCTACTGTGATATGCACATAGGTGACGACTGGGGGTGCTCCGGGGCTCAAGCGCCCACGGGAAAAAAAACCACACCCACGGACCGTGGCCCCGCTCTGAGGCCCCATTCCCACTCCACCCCCAGGCCCCGCCCCCACTTGGCCTCTTCCCCCATGGCCCCACCTGTGCTGCACCTCTTCCTGCCTCCCCGCTCGCTCCTCTCGGCACTCTCCCCCCGTCACTTGCCCTCAAGGCAGGAGAGGGTAAAAAGGAGCAAGTGGTAGGTGGACAGGTGGGGGGGTCTCAGGGGAGGGAGTAGGCAGGAGTGGGCGGGAGGCATTCAGGGGCAGAGAGGAGTGAGTGGCAGGTAGGCGGGTGGGGGGACACTCGGGGGAGGGGCAGAGAGGAGTGAGCGCAGGCGGGAGACACTCAGGGTGGAGAGGAGCAAGCAGCGTGTGGGTGGATGGCGGGGACACTCGGGGGAGGGGGCAGAG